TTTCCTCTGTCTGACTAGCTTGAGAGGCCTTCTCTTTTACTTGAATCATTATGTCTTCTCCTTCCTCTACCATTGTCTGAACTGAAGGCTTTGGACTAAGCAAACAAGATATGAACGTCCACAATGGCAATGTGCCAACTGGCAGAGTCCCTGGGCTTTTCTTTTCTATTCTTTTTAAATCTTCACCATGATGGTTCCATTGTGATATATTTAACAACTCCTCCTTAAAAAGCCATGGGCTACATTTTTGTATTGTATCAACGTATGCCCTGACTGTTCTTGATTTTACTGAGATGCCTCCTTCCTCTAACAATTTACTTAACACTCTTTCAGTTTGTTTTTTACTAATTTCTGATCCCATATTTCTACTATAATACAACCCAACAAGATGACGCCAAACAAAACCGAGACAGAATGAAATAAAAAGGGAACAACAAAAAGTCATTATAGCCTTTCTATCCTCCTGACATGTGCATCCGTCCTTTCTCCCTATCTGTTCCTCAGACGTAAATAGTTTTTCCTCAGATGTGAGCGGTTTTTCTTCCGTCTCACTCATCTCCAGGGACAGGCAACTTAAAACAAAAGTGAAGCAAAATAAAAGAGGAATCTTAAAATGGCTACCCATCCTCTCGCCCTGCCCTCAGGGGCGAGCAGTTTCACTTACCCTCAGTCGCTCCCCGTGCGAGCCACCAAATGCCGCAGTCTGGCTGGGCACAATCAGGAGCCACTTGTCAAAAGAAACTAACTTTATTTTTAGAACCACACACGCCAAACAAAACAGCCTCTCAGGAAAAACCCTCAGAGCCTCAACTGCCACCACCGGCTTTCCACAAGCCTCTCTCTCCCACACAAGCTTCTCTCCACCTCCCACAATCCTCCTGCTCTTGAGGCCGATTGGCTGGGTCACGTGGGCGGAGCCAAAAAAAGTCCCCCAATGAGCAGCTCCGTGGTCTGAAAGGGCAGGGAAACAGCCCAATGAGCATCACCGCAGAGGAGCCAATCAGCTAGATGTTGCTGGGGCCGCTGTGAGCCAATCATCAGCCGGCAGCTGGAAGTTTGCTGGGGCCCCTTCGGCTGTGGCTCTCAACAATAATGGTCTTATATTTGTGGACTAAAGATGCTATACATTGTTTTTAGGCACTGTAATATTCAGTCTATGTGATCTAACAAACTCAGACATGCAGTCTAATTTTACTTTTTGTTCATGACAGTTAACCTCAATGATGTACTATGATTACACTGTGAACAAAATTTACACCACCCAAACAAATAACACTATTTTGGTATTTACATAAAGATTGAAAGAGGCCAATATTTTACATCAACAGTAATCATAGCTCCAGAAAATACATGAGAAATCTGTTTACATTTACCAGTGAATCTAACAAATTTTGATAATAATCATCATGCCTTTTATTTTACTAGATTTAAACATAATCATGTAAGTTGAGAATTTATTTCCTAGTATTAGCTTGGTTTATGTTAAAGTTAACTGTGGGTTGGGTGTAGTGATGCATGCCTGTAGTTCTAGCAACTCAGACGTCTGAGGCAGGAGGATTGCAAGTTCAAAACCAGCCTCAGCAATTTAGAGAGGCCCTAATCAACTTAGGGAAGCTTTGTCTTAAAATAAAAATTTAAAAAATATAGGGGATATAGGTCAGTGGTAATGCTTAGCTGATATAAAAAAAGTAAGTCTGTTTTTAACTATTTCATATACTTTAGTTATAACAGTGGTTTTAAGATGCTAATATTTCCTCTCAATGTTTTGCTTGATCCCTAGTTGATCTACTGACTTCATAATGTCTGAAATCAGATTCAGCAATCTCACTTGGGAGCAAGTTATAACACTGGATCACGTGTTAGAGGAAGTAATTCCAATTCATGGACGGGGAAATTTCCCCACACTGGAGGTAAAACCAAAAGATATCATTCATATTGTGAAAGATCAACTCATAGAGCAAGGAATTATTGTTAAAGATACCAGATTGAATGGTTCCACAGCAAGTTACATACTTGCAAGCCATAATGGAATCATCTATAAAGATCTGGACATAATTTTTGGTGTTGAACTTCCAAGTGATCAGGAATTTCAGGTAGTTAAGGATTCAGTTCTAGGTTGTCTACTTGACTTTTTACCAAAAGGTGTAAAAAAGGAAAAGATTACCCTAAAGACCATGAAAGAGGCTTATGTGCAGAAGATGATCAAAGTTTGCAATAAGCATGATCATTGGAGTCTCATCTCTCTTTCAAATAACACTGGGAAGAATGTAGAATTAAAATTTGTGAATTCACTCAGACGACAATTCGAATTTAGTGTAGATTCCTTTCAAATCCTTTTGGATCCCATGCTAGACTTCTACAGCAACAAAAGTGCTAAGCTAGCCAAAGAATTCTATCCTGTTGTTGTAGCTGAAAGTATGTATGGAGACTTCCAAGAAGCAATGATACATTTGAAATACAAGCTGATATCTACCAGGAAACCTGAAGAGATTAGAGGTGGTGGCCTTTTGAAATATAGTAACTTGCTGGTTCGTGACTTCAAGCCAGCTTGTGAAGCAGAAATCAAGACCCTGGAACGTTATATGTGTTCTAGATTCTTCATCGATTTTCCTGATGTAGGAGAACAACAAAAGAAAATTGAATCATACCTCCGCAACCATTTCATAGGTGAAGGAAAGAGCAAATATGACTACCTTATGACCTTGCATGGAATTGTGAACCAAAGCACTGTTTGTCTAATGGGACATGAAAGAAGACAGACTCTCAACATGATCACCCTTATGGCTTTAAAAGTACTTGGAGAACAGAATATTCTACCCAGTACAGACAATGTAACTTGCTATTATCAACCTGCTCCATACTTAGTTGCTGAGGGAAGGTATCCTGTTTATCATGTAACATCTGGGCCACCACCCATTTTCTTCCAGCCATATCATGCATTGCACTTTCATGTGCCAAATGGTATGGTTTAAGAAATGCAGATACAGTAGAAACTTTGCTTTAACTGAATACCTCTTAAAAGCAAATTTTCTGAAGTCTACAAAATTCACAAGATCTGGTTTTATTTTTTGTGCCGTTACCAACAAATTTCCATCAATTACTGTTTATACCACCATAGTAAACACAATATCATCTGTGAACTGACAGCTTTAAATGATTTTTTAATGTTATTGACTGGTTTTAACTTTCAAACGTTATGGACCAATTGAAATGATTTTCAGATCTTGCTGACGACTTAAGACTTTCAAATTTGCTGTGACAAATACATTTGAGATGCCTGCATCTTTGACTAAAATGTAAGAACACCACTCAAGTTTTAATTCTGAGGTACAGTGAAGACAAGTGTCAAATTTTTGTATTCAATCAATTATTTTATTATACTCCATTTTTTTTCTAGTGAGTAATACCATCAATGAATTCTCAGTACTTAATAGAAATGTGTAAATTTAAATACAACAAATTCAGAAGATATTAAAGCCCTGGACTTTGTAAGCATTTATTTTGTTTCCCAATTAAATTAGTTTGGGTTCAAATTCTGGCTGTAGTTTGAAAAAAACACTGGAAAATGGTTCTGAAAATATTGGAATTAGTAAATTATCATTTAAAAACAAGATACTTAACCAATTTGTTGTTTAGAAAAATAATACCGCCCAGGTGTAGGCTGTGACTGGTTATGCAGGATTCCTTTTCCTGAATATAACTTGAAAAGAATGAAATTCTCTGAATGTTAAACCTTTCTGTCATCATCTATTAAAATAAAATTCTGAATGGCAAAAAGGAGGAAAAAAAAGTGGCAGCGGTTTTTACCCGTGTCATTTACAATTTGCCCAACATCTTAATATATCTGGAAACATTCACTTTTAGTAAGTGAAAGTTTTTTTCTTTATCACTCAATGAAGCATTTTCTTCATTTTAACATTACCAAAAGTTTCTAATATGCCACTCAAGTGCCTCCTAGGGTTAGACTTTACATAACACTGTCATTTATTCAGTGATTGCATATGTTTACAATATATCTGAATATCTACTCATTTTATATCAGATATGCCACTAGCAAATTTGCCAGTGGGGATTCAAAATGAATATCCTTTACATAATGAAAATGACCCATGGCCAGTATTATTTAGATGATAGAAGAGGAATTGACCTGGAAGTATCATTAAGACCATCAGAAAACTTCTATATTTCTACTTGCTTCTGATTCTGATTTTTTTCTGAGTTTTCATCTCAGTTTTTATTGACCATCAAAAGTTTATACATCACAACAAGTCCCAACATTTATATTCTGAGAATTTGTCAATGATATACTATTTTAACCTGTCTTCTCTGTATTACAATACAGAACACAAGAAGTACACCTTATATGGCATTTTCAAATAATATTCAATATTTCTGACATTTTATACCAGAGCAATATATTTTTAAATAATTGTATTATGTCATCACAGAACCCTGAGGCTTTAAAACATATGGACTTTCTCCCTTTTGGGACAAATAAAGAATTTATAAATAATATATTAAAAAGAAAATTCAGCAATCTATACTTTGTATTGACTAAAGATGATTGATCATTCTTTCCCAAATATACTCTTTACTTTACTTTGAAGTTAGTATAAATGCATGTACATACGACTAAAGGTATTTATCAGTAACAAAATATAATTCCAAAATATATAGGAAAATGTTTAAGAATAAAAAAACTATGTTAATGATGTCAATGGTGAAGGTTCCGTATTTTCCAAAGTGACGTTTTATAATGAATAATAGAATTCTTATGATGTTTAGAAATATCCCTGTGTGCTCCTATAACTGCCTTTAGTCTTACTGGGAATTAAGACTCTTATCTTCCTTAAAAAGTGATTTCTTCATGGTATTTGCTAAAACTTTAAGTCATAATGGAAGAATAGTCTGATATCTTTATTTTTTCTCCTAACACATCAAGCATGTATTTCTCTTGGGGAGAAAAGTTCAAAACTGTTACTTAAGATTTTCTCAAGAGAGGATCTTAACATATTGAATGGGAATGACAATAGAAGAGAAAGCTCTGGATTTATTTCTCATGACTTTTTGTTTATAGATACTATCACTAAATTAGGCTTTCCTTTGTCCCCAACTAACCAGAAAAAATAAATTATTTATCTTCAATTGTATATGAGTGTCTCCCCAGGATTAGGCTAATTTCCTTGAAAAGCAATATTATCTCATTCTGTTCCATTAGGATAATAAATGGGAAACTTTTACATCAGTCAATTAATGCAATCTTCACCTAAAGGAGTTAATAGAAATTAGTACTTAAAACTTCACTCTAGAGCATGTGTCATCCCATTACTAGAGAGACTACTTACTCTGTGACCATTTCATTTTGTGCAAATCCAGGAGTGTTTTTGGTTTAAAAAGCCTTTTTTTTCCCAGAAGCTTAACCCAAAACAAAAAAGAAAAATCTATATGGTGAGATAAATTTGGTATCTGCTGCAGATAAACATTCTTTTAAACCAGAATATTCTTATATTTCACAAATAACTACACATTATTATCAAAGTTCTACTAGTAGGTTATCTGTAACTTAAATTTAGAAGTATTCTTCTAATAGTGACTTATGTCCAGTTTAATCAAAGAAAATTGAAACAGAAGGATTATCTTGTTTGGGCAGATAACCCAGCTGAATTCAAGACAAAATTACAGAGCTAGAATAGCTGTGAACTGCACCTCCAGCAAACTAGGAAAGTATCCTGTACCCAAATTCCATTTTCTTATATAAGTAAGATCCTACTAAAATGCTTCCAAATTGTAAAGAGTCTCTAAAATTTGTGTTTAAAATCACTTTTTGTTTTAGGCATTAATAAAGATAGTATGTAAAATGCTTTAGATATAATTAAAAGTTCTTTCAGTCAGTGTATTATTTGAAGTATTTCAAATTTAAAAATATGGAAAGGTAAAACATAATTGAGAAAATTGAAGTTTTAAAGTTTGTAATTCTTTTCAAAGTTATATTGATTTAGGAAAACAACCTTTCAATTCATAGAATATTTAAGAAATATTTTATTTTATATATTAACATTTAAACAAGATTGGAAGGTGCATGTGAAATCAAATTGATAAACATTCTCATGAAAATGACTTTTGCAAGGCAAAAAACATTTCAACCTACTGTGAATTCCATTTGCTTTACCATTATAAAACATATAATGATGTTTTGTTTTCAATTGTGCTGTCCTTTATAAGGTTATATTCTTTATACAATTTCATAGTTTATGTACTGGGTGTTGGAAATTGTATTGCATATCTGCTGCTTCTTTTTTGAACATTTATTCAGCATGTTTAACTGAAAGTAGCAAATTTGTCAGACTGTCAGTATATTGTTGTTAGTTGCTTTCTTTAGAAAACAGTTTTCCCTAATTTTTGCAGGTTTGAGCAAAAACATACCATTTGGAGTATATAATGTTTGGATAGCAGTTTAGCATGTAACTGGTAAACTTTGAGCTTAATATGTGACTTTTAAATTTGCTTTATTATGAGAGTATGCAAATATTATTCACAAAAATTTTGCATTTAAAGTAGTGCTACATGGATTGCATTAGTGTTTGAAACTAGAACATCAGCAGGAGCAACAACTTTTTGTTTAGCTGTAACCCTTGAAAGAGCAATGGATAATTTATAGATGAATACTATGTGCATGTGCTTCTCATGACCATTTAAAAAGATAAATCTCCCTATCTATAAAAATAGTACCATATGGATAAACCATTTCATACCTCAGGACAAAATAATGAACTCCTGTCAATGCATAAAATGTCCTAATGGAGAAATGTCTTGAAATGGCCCTCTTTGCCAGCTATTCTTAGAGTTCCCAAATTAAAAGTGATAGATTAAATAAACCAAGGAATATAATTTAATGGTAATTTATGACAACTTATTCTAGGACTGTTGGTAGACTTTGAACCATTCTCTAAAATGTTAATTAAGTAATCTACTTTATATTATAAATAGATATGATCCAGGCATACTTAGTCAGTTGACTCAACTAATTAATCCAGAAACATGGGAATGATTCTTGTTTTAGCATTGGTACATCTCTGGAGGTTTTAGTAGGAAAGATTGTTCTTGAAAATGATAGCAGAGTGTAGTATGAGTATTCTAATATCCTATTCATCAATTTCATTCTTAGAGAAGGACAAAATAAAGTTTTCTATAAAAAGTGGGACTTTAATACCACAAGAAAAATTATAAAGATAATATAATGTGCTTGTAATATCAGAGTTTAAAAATTTCTGTATGATCATTTTAGCCACTAGCTAAATTTTCATTGAAATATAAATTGATATTTGATAGTAATTGACTTACATTTTCTGTTTTAAAAGTTTTAAAAAATATTCACTTTCCCCCAATAAAATTAGAGCCAACACAAAAATATATTAGCAGATGCTTATGCAAATAAAATTGTGAATTATTGTATAAGTCTTATATATGATCTCTTTGAACAAAAGGATCTCTGTGTAAATTATGTTACTTCTTGTTTTGTGAGTTTTGTAGAAAAGCTTTGGGACACTGAGGATTAAATGCCTTCAAAAACCAATGATTGCAGTAAACTCCAGTTAGCTGTTGTCAAATAACTACTACAGCTCCATATTTTTTGTGAAGCAAAATGCTTTCAGATACTATCATCAGGTAAAAAGTGTAAATTATAACAAGTTTTTGGATTAAATATTGACTTAATTTGAGAGCAATTTAATACATATTTAAAGTGAAAGGCAATATTTTCTTCCAGGTAAATAATACGTGTACTGAAAGAGAACCTATGCCAGGGAAGTTATCTGATTTAGAAATGTTAAGGACAATATTTAATGTGTTGCAAATAGATTTATATGAAATTATGTGCCCGTTTCTAAGTTAAGGAGAATACCCTGTAAACGAGATATATAAATCCTAGCAATCCTGACAGTTTCCAAATGAGAGTATGCAGTCTATTTTCCTGAAGAACAAGAGTTTAGCTGATTTTAAATTTATATTTAACCTATGTTCAAAAGTACAATATTGCGTGTATTAATGGAATACCATGCCAAGTTTTGAGACAGGTACAAATTGCATAATATTTAAATTGGGTC